GGCGGCGGGCGAGCCGGGCGGGCTGCCGGCCAAGAAGCTGCGCATGGCCTACGCCACCGGGCCGCTGCTCAAGTTCCAGATCTGGTGCGTGCGGCCCCCCGCGCAGCGCGGCCTGGCTCGGAGCCGGCCTCCGGGCGCTGGGCTCGGAGGCCTCGAGCTCCCGGGGCTCCTCCCCGCCGTGTGGGCGCCCGGGCAGGCCTGTGCAGGATGCAGTCCAGCTCTGGCCGCCCCGCTCGGGCTGGGTCCTTGCGGTGCGTGGGGCGGCGCTGGGTGCTGCTCTCGGGCCTGGTCTAGCCCGTGCACCTGTGAATTTGGTGATTAATTTGATACTTTAGTTTTAGAGCAGGGGGCGAGCAAACTACAGCCCACCCATCGATCCTGTCCGGCCCGCCGGCTGCCGCCGGGAGCCTGAGGAGGGCAGGCCGTGCCCAGCGCTGCTCTGCTCCTGCACGGCTGGGGCTGGGCTGGGCCGCAGCACGCATGCTCCTCCAGCCCCGTCTGCCCCATACCCGGCTTCTTGTTGGCACTGTGGTTGCGCAGCTCTGACACTGGCTGCCAGCAGCTGGGCCGGCACAGGAGTGGGTGCGGGGCAGCACGTCGGGGAGCTGTCCCACCTGCCCGGATGCCAGTGCAGCACCTCTAGGAGGTGAGTCCGTGCTGGTCTCTCAGCCCCAGGTGCTGCCCGTGGCTTCCTGGGTGTGGCGCACCAGCAGCGGCTCGCTGCGGTGGCAGAGATGGCTATGCCGTGTGCTGCATCGCGCTCCCTCCCAGACAGGCCTGGCTGTTGGTGGCCGTTGTGCCAGGACTGTGTAGTTCTGGTAGGAAGCTGGGGGCAGGGGAGATGGATGCTGGGGGTGGAGGAGTGTGCGCTGCCTGGCCCAGGTGTGGTATACAGCTCTCCCTCCTCAAGCTCCTGGTGACACTGGTGGGCTGGACGGGATCAATTGCCATCTTTCTCTGCCCTCAGCAGCTTACCAAAACTCTTTTTAAGTGGCTCTCCAACCCAAATAATTGCCCATCCCTGCTCTAAGGCCTGCTGAGGACACTTCCCGTGCTGTTAACTAACAGCACACTGATTGCCTATAGGAATGACAGATGAGGACTAATGGGAAGAGAAGTATAGACAGGAAAGCAGCAAAAGCAGAGATGGTCTGAGCTCAAACTTCAAGGTCTCTCATGAGATATTTGCCATCCTTGATGAAACTGACTCTTCTGAGTCTTTTGTGCACAAGGGTACACCGATACGTTGGTCCATATTGTATCAGCTTCGATAAAAGGGAAGTTGACATTATCGGCAATCAGCTTTTTTGGCTGATGTAGGTGATAATGTCACTGATACATGCTGCATGCATGCACGCAGCCACAGCATGCACACCGCCAGGAGTGCAGTGTCTAGCTGGTAAGTCTGTTGGAGGGAAGGAGTATGGGGCTGGGGCAGGCGCTATCCAGGTGGGGTGTGGGACAGAGCTGGTGGCTCTTGCGGGAAGGCAGCTCCCGCTGCCGTGTGCACCCCCGGGGGTATGTTCCCCCTGGATCTGTGTGCGAGGCAAGGGCAGGTTGCCACTGTGTGCTCAGGGCCGGAGGCTATGCCAGCCTCTTCCCAGCGGAGACTGGGCTGTGGCTGCACTCAGGGCGGGTGATAGCAGCACTGGGATGGGAGGCTTGGGGGAGGGCTATGGTGAATTTTGGGGGGGCTGCCCTCACCCTGTGCACAGATCCAGGGGGCACATGCCTCGCCTGCCCCCCCCCCGCTTCCCTCTGGGGGTGCGCACAGCAGCAGGAGCCACCTCCCCCTCCCCCTGAAGACAACACATGAGTGACTGCCCCAGTCACCCTGCCCTAGTTACACCATTGCATCCAGTGTTAAACGAGCATGGTAACTGACCAGCTCTTAGAACATAAAACGTATGATTTTAGGTATCTAGCTAACTGTAGCAGAGCTGATAATTTGTGCGCTCGCTGCTGTGATTTTTCTTTGTGTTCAAGTCCATTGTGAAAAACTTGTAGCACTGCTTGTTGGCTGTTGGTAGCGCACAGTGTCATTTCAGCAGGGGAAAAATATCGACAGGTGCAAAAATGTACATCTTAGTCCCCAGAAGTGGATTCTGGGCCTTGTTCACTTTTGTTTAGGCAGTTCTGTAAAATGCCACAAGTAGTAAAGTTAAGGTAAAGTAGTGTTACTGTTGTAACTTTAATTTACTTCCTATATTTTTCTCATGCATTTTCACAAGTTGAGTGGCTGTCAGATTATTTCTACTGCAGTTTTTATGTAATTAAATATATACAAATATACAGTGTCAATCTTTCAAGAAGCAAGATTGACCTGTAATCATTTATCTAAAATCCTGTTTCCATAGCTTACGGTTGTTCTGAGGTTAGTGTTTCATTTTTCGAATGAAATAACTGGTAGTATACTTGATAGTCTGAGAGAGTACACTAAGTTGAACTACTGAAAAGTAACTGCTTTTGTTTCAAAGCATTTCTCAGAGTCAAATTATTTGGGATCAATTGTGTTTCTATTGCGAGACGAATAGAGTTCAGTTGTACTTTGCCTTTTTCTTTTCAAGTTTTTCACAATCTTAAAGCAAAAATATTGCTCTAACATATTTCTAAAAACTGAATTGCAGGTAAAAATATTAAACTTGTTATTTAGATAATGTGGAGTTTTTCTGTATTCTGCCCAGTCAGATGCAGGTTTTCTACTTGGATCATCTGACTCATAAGTGACACTTTGTGATAGCTTTCTCTATTTTTGGCTTGGTGCCACTTAATGTTTTGTAGCATAGAACATTTTTTTTATATCAAAAGGTAGAAAAATGGAAAACCTAGTACAATCATGCTAATATTTTAAAGGGTACTGCCTTTGGATTAATTCTGTTTTCCAGCAATGGACCTTCTTGTGTTGTGATGTCTCAGACACATTTGTAGTATGAAGTGGAGTCAAATCTTACTGGTTACACGCAACAAAAATCTAAAAATCGTGTGTACTGGAGGCAACAGCTGATGTTTAAATAATTTATTTTACATTTTGGAGGACTAATATGATTGAAGTTAATGTAATTTTTGCACTGGAAGTTCACCGTTAAAACATCTTGTTAACAAGCTCTTTTTTATATCAGTCTCTTTCACTGCTGTTTTTGAAATTCTAAGCCTTTTTCTAAATTATAAAGAAGCAAAAGAAAGATATTGATAAGCATTTAACATAACTTCTTAATCGGTTACCCATCTCCAGCATTCAGAAAAATACTGCATCTCTTCTGGGTGTGCTGTGGAGCCCTCATTCTGTTGTCTGTTATCTTCTCTATTATACCCACTTCAACCTGTTTCCTAACTGCTTTCCTGTTCAGTACTTAGTGCATATCCTGCAATATTAAAAATACTTCATCAGCCTTTGCAAACTTTTACAGGAAGCTTAAATGTGATGATCAGGGTGGGGGTGGGGAATTCAGAATTAATTGATGCCGTTGCAAAAATGCAGGGTGGTTGTTACAGTCTGACCTTTTTGAATATAATGTCATAGAACTTATGAGAAGGTTTTATTACTTGTGATCCAGACAAAAAAAATACGTTTCTTCATCTTAAATCTTCTGAGACATATGTACTTGCTAGAACTTGATCTGTAGGTTAGTAAATGAAAGCAAATGCCACGTGAAATCTAGTTGAAAGCTTTTGGAATCATCAGCTTGGCAATTTGTTTGTGTGTAATTAATATTAATTTGTGTCTAGTTGAATAAGCCCAAAAGTATATTTGGGAAGGTATTGGCAGTTTCCACTGTGCAGTGAATATAGTGTACAATGTTTGAAGTTCAGTAATAATTTCTGTCTTTTAGTGTTTCCTGAGGCTACAGGCGGGTGTTTGAGGAGTACATGCGGGTTATTAGCCAGCGGTACCCAGACATCCGCATTGAAGGAGAGAACTACCTTCCCCAACCTATATATAGGTATGTAAACAATTTGTTTAGATGGGTTGACTGGTTTTTTGGGTTTGTTTTCTTCAGTCTCTGTCCATTGTGCTAAAGATGGCCAATGTATATGCTTAATTAAAAAAAATTCTTCTGACATCTTGTAAATTCTTTTAGTTTTCTTATGATGGTCTCTCTACCCTCATTTCTTTAAAAAAATAAAAAGAGACTTCTTTTGGGGTTTTTTTGTTTTTTGGTGTGTTTGTTTTTTTTTATTGCCAAGTGATCCTGATTTGAATGCATCATAAAAGAGAAAGCAACCACATCTGTATCATAATGTCTGTCACTATTATTGCATGGCAGATTGAAGTCCGTTCTAATTCTTCAGATCTCTCATAGTAAATCTTCACCATTGAATCTGGGCACGAGTTCACATAATTTTACTTTATAACTAAACTGTGTGCACATATTGATAGTATTATGTGTGTATATGTATTGTGATATGACCCCATTTGGATTGGAGCTTTTGGTTTTAAAACCAAAGTGAAAAACTTCACTCTGTCATAGAAGAATTCCTTTAAACATAACTTAAAAACCTGGGGGAAAAAAGTGATGAGAAAACTTAATTGAAAAGGAATTATTTTTATTTTAGTAATTAAAAGAGTCCTTTGTAGGCTAGATAGAGGTGTACAGTTACTGTGGTGGTTACTGAATCATGTAGTACCTAATTGTTGTTTACAGCCTTGTTAGTAAAAGCCAGTTTGCAAAATAGATATAATTTTTTTTTGAATCTTAACTTTAGAGATAAAAGCAGGGTATCAGTTTGAGTCTTTTTGGGTGTGATGTTACTCTCTGCCTGCTTTCTAATTATGTCCTATGAAAATGATTATACCAATTTAAGTGATATTTAGGTATAAAGTAATGAAGCATTTGAGAGCCTTATAAAGTGACTTGTATCTTTTGCTTTTGTTAGACACATAGCATCCTTCCTGTCAATCTTCAAACTAGTATTAATAGGCTTAATTATTGTTGGCAAGGATCCCTTCGCTTTCTTTGGCATGCAAGCTCCAAGTATCTGGCAGTGGGGCCAAGAAAATAAGGTACATGATTTACTTTTCTTTTCTTTTGTGGTGATGTGGTCTAATTAAGATGTGATTTCATAATACTTGTGTGGGGGTGCTTGAAAACTGATATGGTTTATTTTATTTTCAGGTTCTTAGGGTGCAGGCAGAAGTGTAGTTCTCTGCTGTAACTGAGAATGCTTTGCAGGAAATGTTCTGAGTTTAATCTAATTACTTGTAATGGTGGTGCCTGGTATTGGTAGAAATGCAGATATGAGGTCTGGTTGCCTACAGAGAGGTACCTAATGTCACCCCATTGATAAAGATGCAGCAGCATGGGAGTTACACCGTCAGTAAGAAGGCACAACTTTTTTTTCATTGGACCAAGAACAAACTTGTGGTTGTGTTTTGATAGGTGTTAAAATTGTTTTTTTCTCCAAAAGCATTGAATCATGGCAGTTTCTTAGATATTTCTTATCAAACAAGCTTTTGTTACATTTTTTAGAAACCCTGTTTGGTACTTTAAAAAGTAAAATCCAGTTGTATTTTTACTTTATAGAAGATTCCCAAATGCTTTGGGAAACTTGTGTTCTTGATCAGACCAATAGCTCTCCAGTCATTCCTAGTACAGCACTAAAACGTTACTTTCAAAATTCTAAAACAGTGATTTCATTCTAGACTTTAACTAAAAAGACAGAACTATAATATATTTTATATTGCTCCCAAGTTGTTGGGTCTTGCTTTTAGAAGTTCTTTTGTTGTTATAGATGCAGCAAACCTCAACTTAAACTACCAGTGCAGTAGGTTTGAATCATGGGTCAGCTTCAGTACAGTAATGTATTATTCTGCTGGCCCACAGAATCATGTGTTGTGTATCTGACCTAAATTAAGGCTTCATTGAAATGTAACTACATTTTTTGTAGTGCCCTATTGTTATTTCATGTACTTAATTCTTTCATTGTTGCTTACCAATGTAAACAATGTTTTAGCACTAATAAAAAGAGAATACTATAAATAACCATAGTAGCTATGAAATCTCCAAATGCCATGTTGCTGAAGATTGCATCATTTGATCCTTGGTGTATGATGCCAAAAGAAAGCTCAAAAAGATAGTGCAGAAGGAACAGTGTGGTTAGGGTTTACAACAGAAATAGCATCTATCAAAATACATCCTCCCTAACTAAATATACAGTATCTTACTACTTAAGAAATTATGGAGAACCTCCTTGATTTTCTTAAATACTGTATTAAGCTTCTGTATCTCACTCCAAGGCTCTGCAGAATGCGTGACTTTAATGGGAGTGGGGGAGGGGATGTTTGATCTTCTGTAGCAGGGTTGTCAAATATATGGGTCATGGGCCAGATACAGCCTGTGGAGATTTATGATCTAACCCATGGTCTTTGGATCAGCCCTGCGAGCTGCATGCAGTGCGTGAGCTGAACCTGGCACTGCGCATGGCACATGGGGTCGGTCTGGGGTGCGTGATGCATATGACACCCACGCTGGCCTGGTTTTGTGCACTGTCTCCAGATTGATCTGCTGTGCTTCATGCAGTGCCAGGGCCAGCCCGTGTACTACATGCAGCACAGGCCCTGGAGCAGGACTGGCACCTACTCCATGTGGTATGCAAGCTGAACATGGCACTATGGATGGTATGTGTGGTACTTGGGGTCAGTCACAACCTGGCCTAACAGGCTCCTGGGGCCAGATGAGTTTGACACCACTTTTCTTTAGTAAACTTAAAATGAACTTTTAAGGATCAGTGGGTTCAGTATCATTTCTCAGTTCTCAAGCTGGATACTTAAAAAAAATATTAAAAAAAAAAATTGTGCAAGCCATTATTTAGAATAAAGAAAAAAAGGACTATCATCTCCCTGAAAACCTACAAACTTTTTCAAAGAAGGTGCAGGTGAAGAATTAAAATGTCTCTATGGACCTTTCAGGGTTTTATGAATAAAAAGCTTGGTTTAGAAGATCCCAATATGTGAGACTAATGCGGATTTTTTTTTAAATTGGTTCTAGGTCTATGCTTGTATGATGGTTTTCTTTCTGAGCAACATGATTGAGAATCAGTGTATGTCAACAGGTGCATTTGAGATAACTTTGAATGGTGAGTTCTGCTGTCTTATTTTAAAGGAATTGCTATGTGTGCATGCCATGTTCTACAAGGGTTTTCAGAGACTACCAGTCTCTTTTGTTACTCCAGGTTAAGTTGCAAGGTGACAAATGAGTTTGTGAATGAGTTTGTGCACTTACCTGTGTCATTTGTTATATTTTAGTATGTAATTGGAATCTGCTACATATATGTTGCATAAGGTGATTATTATTTGCCTCCTATTTTGAAGGCAGATAAGCTTACTCAGGGGAACTTCTATGGCAACCATGGGAGTCAGCTAGTTAGTAAGAAGGTGCAATTCTTTTCATAGTACTCTGAGTAGAAAGCCAAGTTAAACTTGTGGATTTGGTTTTTGTATGTGTTTAATCTTTTTTATCTCCTCGCCACCACAGGCTCAAAAAACACAAGCCTTTTTAAGTCAGCCTTAAGAATATTAAAATTCATACAGAAATGAGTTGAAATCTAATGAGGTTTACCTGCCTTAAGCCTTTTCTACAGTTGAAAGGCTCAAAACTCTGCCCCGAACCCTAAATTTTCTGAATTCAGGAGCTGACTGGCTATTGTTAAACTTCTCAGCTACTTTGTTGTAACTGTGTGCGTTTTCCGCCCCTCCCCCTCTTCTCACTTCTCTTGTTTATAGATGTTCCAGTGTGGTCTAAGCTGGAGTCTGGTCACCTTCCTTCCATGCAGCAACTTGTCCAAATTCTTGATAATGAAATGAAACTCAATGTGCACATGGAGTCAATGCCCCATCATCGATCATAGCCTCTTCTATCAGCGCTGAAACTTCTTGTAAGTTGTATTATTTTGTTCTGTTTTGCATTTTGGTTTCCTTTTTTTTGTTTGAATCCCTTCCTCTACACCCCCAGACACTTTTCCCCAGGATTATTAGCTACTTGTTACATTGCAAAAGATAATGGATTGCTCACCCCAGGGTAACAGAGTGTGTGTTTGGGTGGTCAGGGCTCTTAAAGAGTTTCTGATTCAAAAAGTTGGAAAAATATTTTATGATAAGTTACTTTTTTGGAGTCCCTTATTGAAAGCTATAGGAAGCATTCTGTCTGTTGTCTGAACCAGGTCAATTCCAATTTGCAGCAGTTAGTTTTTGGGGAAAGGGTGTGTGTTTGTATGTGACAAAATAGTAGGGTTAATATAGCATGCTCTTCTGTTTTTTGGGGGGTTTGTTTGTTTTCTTTTTCTAGAAAATTAAGTAGAACAGGAGAAGTTAATTTGGGATATATGAGTAATTAATATGAAAGCTTTGCACATCACGTGTCACAGGAGCAAGAAACTTTTTCTTCCAGAAGAGATTGCCTGTAATGGCAAGTCAGGTAGAACTGCTCTATAAAGTACAGATACGGTAAAAGACAGTTCGTTCTATATCCTAACCCTCCTCATCTAGAAAAGAGGACTGGGTTTTGTGATGATAGTACAGGCAGTCCTCAGATTTATGACACAATTGGTTCCTGAAAACCGCATCTTAAGTCGAAACATTGTAACTCGGAACCAATTTTCTCATAAGAAACAATGTTATAAATGGGGGATTGGTTACTGAACCAAGGCCTGATACCCTATTTTCACCAAAAATACCGAAGAATTTTTTACTTAATCAATTATAGATGAGTAATCTAGCTACATTAATGTATTTATATTGTAAATAGCAATCACATTGATTTGGAAGGACTTCTTTGAGGTGACTTTGTTGGACTTTTTGAAAGGCTCTTGGTTGGACTTTTGAAGAGTTCGTGGCTGGAGTCTTCTCAGGTGTCTTGGCTGCAGGTTTTTCTGGAGTCTTGTCTGCTTTCTTAAAGAAAGTGTCTAAGGAAGTTTGGACAGATGTTCTCCAGGGAGATGGGTGACACAGCAAACTTGTTTGCTGGTGTGGCGTCACATCAGATCAAGTGTAGTAAAGTTGAAACTGACGTCATAAAGTTGAAACGGTGTTAATTTATAAATGGTGTAGGTGTGAAATGTTGTAACTCAAAATGCTGTAAGTTAAGGACTGCCTGTACTTAAATTATAAGCTCTCTGAGTTAAAGACTAACTTTCATTTTCTTTGTACAGAATCTAGCACAATGGAATCCTGCTCCATTACTTTGGCTCTTAAGTGTTACAAATAATAAATATAACTTCATTCAGTGTGTTTGTGTCTTTCCCACCTTTGTACCATATTTAAGAAGAAAAATTCCTGTCTTGTGTATTTCTTCCCCTTTACAATGTACTAGACGATATTTGTCCAGTAATTTCTTAAAAATGGATCTTTCTGGCATAACTGCTAGTGATTCCTTTTTCCCTCATCTGTAAATTATATTTGCGATGACCTCTATTTGGTAGGACAGAGCCCAGTCTAACCTCCCTGCTTCAGGTGTGTTTCAGCATTTTCACTACCAACCGTGAGCTGCCTGTAGCACCTTTCAGTAGTCATACCAAATTTTTGTTGTCCAGTGAACTTCCCTCTGGCTTGAAGTGAAAGATTGTACAGACTGATCTTGCTAGGCAGGATATGAGTTCAACAACTGTCAGTTGTCCATTGGGGATGTCTGAAAATATAGGAAAGCATGTATTGAGCTTTGAAGATTTAAAACACTACGTATGTTAAGACATATAGTAGGTGAGTGACATGCTTGTTTCATGAGTCCAGAGAGTAGGAGCATATTACTACCTTTTCTCACTATTACCCTGGCATTCTGCACATTATGCTCACTTAATAACCAACTGCAAATACTACTTGGAAAGCTGGGAGTTGGGGAGGATGAAAAGTCATAACTAAATACAGAAGTTTAAAATTTGAATTGTAAAACTAGCTCTCTTTAAACAGGTTCTATTTTAAAAATATCAAAGGGTGCAATGTTTATATAATTCTTAATATTAATATAGTAAAATATTACCTTTCTATGTACAAACGTGGGCTGTTTGTGCATGAAAGGCTTTCTTTAAGTTAAACTGCATTGATGTAGTACAGCTTTCATAGAGGTATTCTTGTGCTAAAGGGACTTGCTGTTCCAGACTGGTTGTATATCTGAGCCTTCTGCCTCTGGGGGCACCCTTTCAGGTCAGAGCCCTTACTTCTGTGTGGTATTTTTGACTTAGTGTCTGAGCTGAGGTTTTTTGAACAAATTGCAAGTACATGTAGAACACATTTCTGACATTTCCTCGCAGGACTGGTTCTGGAGCACACACGTTTTGACCCAGTCTTGGCCACTGGTGCAGTTTTCCTTCGGCAGCTGTGATTTGGTTGTGATGCAGTAAACCAAGTATTTAGATAGGTAGTAGCATTTGTCAGAGCTTAAACATTCTACGTGCGTTTGTGGGGGGAGTATTGAGCTTTAGCTCATGCTGAATAACGTTTCTGGGGACTGGGATTCTAGCTTCTCTCATAGGCTACAAATAGATGTCACCAAATAAAATAGATCAGCTGTGCTGGGATGTTGTCCCAGCACAGCAAATTTGCTTCACTGGGAGAGACTTATATTATCTGTTGATCCTGTGGGACAAGGAGCGATGTCTTCCCTGCTTACTGAGAGGCACACCAGGCAAAAGCTGGTTCCAGTGCAGTCTGAGTCCTGGGACCACACTGAAGTGTCAAACCAGTGTCTCTGTAAGTAGATGAAAGCCAGGCAGGCACTCTCAGGGCTTGGGGGGACCTGATCCTGCATGGAAATTCCTGGGGTGTGGGGGATTGGGTGCTAAGCACCTTAGAGAATCTGCTGGGGCAGTTGGAAAGTGTGAGCAGCTCTGGGCTGCCAAGCAAACAGACATCTGCTGCTAAATAACAGCACAAATTAATATCAGCTACTTCATGGCCACAAATTTTGGGCATTCATGGCATGGCAAGCGGTATGGATGTCTGTTTGCTTGGCCTTTTGTGCTTCCGTAATAATTCTTATGGCAGTGCAAAGTTGGCATCTGCTTCTAACCATACAGACACTGCCTCTTATTATCTCTGAGCCTCAGAGCTGCTATTTTAATCCTTCCTCTTGGGCTTTCCCTTCCCCCTTTTCCAGCAGCTTAACTAAAGCATGGTGGTGTTACAAAGTTCAACAGCTTCATAGTTTTATTATACAGGTGCTGCTGATTGGGTTAAGTGAAGTTGTTGACTTTGACTTTTGGTTCCTTCAGACCAGCAAAATCACTTAAGCCTGATTTACCAATTTATCCTTTAGCCTAATGCTTTAATCATCAAACGAACAGGAGGCCCCATAATAGACATAAAATTAGGTATCTCCCACTTCCTTCAGAAACACGACTTGGATCCTTTGTATCCTTCATATTTGACGCATGCTTGTTTGTAGGACCCTGGACAGTGCACTCTTCCTGCTTGCAATGTGGAGCACAAGTTTCTGGCATGGATTTCCTGTTACATGAAGTTCATTCATCCTGTTAATCCAGGAAGTCTGCTGTTGTAGGCTTAAAGTAGATTCTGGCTACATTTCCCAAGCAATGGAGCTGTCATAATTTCCCTCTGGAGATGATTCAGTGGCTTAGTAGATTTCATTTTTGGAAAGATTTCCCTAGGGTTGTTTGTGTTTTTTCCCCCAGCCTGAGTTTCTTCTTTACTTAACTCTCCCCCAGGATTCTAAGTATAGTCCCAAGTACCTTCCCACATCACTTTTAATCTCCTTAAGTCTGTAATGACTAGTTCTTCTCCACAATCTGAGTGAGCCTGTTGGAACTTCCAGAAGTGTATTGAGATGTTTCACAGACAGTTTCCTTTTGTTTGACCAAGAAGGAAGTGCCCTCCCCCAATAACAATATGTTTTATGCATTTCTTTTTAGGCATTAAAGCAAAACTTTCCATTGGCAGCGTGGCTGAAACCAATGAAGGCCTGCACTGAAGACAGCAAGCTGTTAGTGCAGACTGGATGCTTTCTTTACAGTCACGTTGTACCTCCTGAAAAACCTCGATGGAAGACCTCTTTCAGTGCTGGCATGTTTCCAAATACTGCACGTTCATGGAGTGCAATAATACTGTATAGTTTTTTTTAAGAGTTAATTCGACCAGTTCATAGCTAAACAATACAGGCATTACTAATTGTAACTTTTATTTTATATTCATGTTTCACAGAATGGCAGATTGAGTTGATATCTAATTTTTCCTTGGAAAAAGTTTGTCTAATCTGTTGTAATTTTATATGAATTTATGTTCTTTTTGTAGTTTAAAATAGAATTACAGGAATATCTGATATAGTCCTAAACTGTCTTAAATAATTGACAACTATCTATCAGACATCTCTAATATGGTTATATCAGGTTTGTATATTTTTCCAAATATATTGCAGAGTGAAATGGTGCACTATATGCTAAATTATATGGACAAAACTATATGGAGAGTAATTACATCACTTTTGTGATTTCAGAAAAAACAAAAAAAATAACTGCTTTTTAAACTGCATTGGCCAGCTCAGGAGTTTCTTCCTCAACCAGTTAAAAGAATTGAAAAGCTGGGCCTTTATACTGTCCTAAATATAAACTAAGCAAATGTAATTTAAATAAAGAGTTCTCATTTACTGTGTGAAGTATCTTGTGTAAAGATTATAGAAAATATAAATGTTGTTTTGTGCTGAGAATGTAAAAAAGTCTAGAAAATATACACTTCAGATACATGACTTAGATGAGAGAATGGATAGCTTCAGAATCGTAGAAAAGCAGGAGGGGAAGGGATCTCCGGAGATTATATAGTCTTGCTCCCTGTACGAGGAAGGATTATCCCAGACCAAACCACCCCGCCAAGTGCCTGTCAAACCTGCTGAAAATTGCCAAGCATGGAGATTCCACAAACTTTCTAGGAAGCTTGTTCCAATGCTTGACCACTCTGAGTGTGAAGAGTTCTTTCTTATCTCCAACCTAAGCTTCTTCTACTGCAATTGGAGACTATTGCCCATAGTGCTCTCCACTGTGGCTACAGAGAAGAATCTACATTGTCTTTATAATCATCCTTCAGGTATCATCAGTCTTCTCCAGATTAATCTAGCTCCCAAGAAAAGAATGCAAGTTCTGATAACCCTGGTTCCTTGAGTACCTGTTTAATAATCTTTCCAGGTATTGAGGTTAGACTGGTCTTTAGTTCTCCACTTCCTCCTCCCATTTCTTCATCCAGGACTTCACCCAATATATGTATTTTCAAAGATGATAGCTAAAGGCTCTGAAATGAACTCAGCCTGTACCTTTGAGCAGTACATTAGGGTATTTTCTGTATGGGCCTGGCAACCTGAAAATATTCACCTTCTTTAAGTAATTCCTGACCTGTTCTTCCACTACTCCAAGGTTTGTCGTCTTTGCTACCAGCTGCACTTGTCATATTGTAGTTTACCTTATCTGTGAAGTCTGAAGTGAAAATGGCATTAAAAGTTTCAGCCATCTCTGCCTCACCCATAACTAGATTGCTTTCTTCATTCAGTAAGGCATTTCTTGGTCTTTTTTATTACATGCTTACATTACCTTTTATATTACCCTTTATATTACCTTTTACTTCCCTTGCCAGTTGCATCTCTTATGTTGACAGTCTTGTATGGAAGACTTTCACAACAGTGAAATCCTTTAAGTGAGCATTTCTAAATGATGGGGTAATAGCTTCAAAGATGAAAGACTGTTCTGCCCAAATACATTCACAGTGGTGAACTTTTCTAGCACCGTTGATGGCATGAGATCTAGTTACTCCCTTGCCAAGCTCCAGGAAGGCAAATATCATATCACCCCCATGGTGAAACTGTTGACTGTAGAGATGAAGCAGCTCAGTAACCGGTAAGGTGGTTTGGTCTACAGACTGAGTTAATTGATAACTTATTAATGATTCTGGCCCTTTCCATAGTCCAAAAATTTAGGGTTTAGATGATATCTCTAAGGAGCCAGATCGGGTGCCCTTGCAGTTCCCATTGACTTCAGATACTTTTTCAGATACTGTTGAGAACTGTTACTTTTGTGAGACTCTTTTATGGCTTCCTGAACAGAAAGCAAGTCCTATAATCCAATTGTCTTTTTGAAGTTAGATCTATTACTCTCTCAAGTTACTATAACCCCTTCCTCAGTATTTTAGGGGCAAGTTTAAATGATAGTTGGGGATGGTAGGACCTGAAGATCTGTTTCTAGGGCACAGCTAGGTAATGCTGTTAAGGCTAAGAAGATGGACCCTGTGCCCCTTCACTATGGGTTCTGGGTGGGTAAGATCAGCACACAGTTCCGGCTCTGGGCTGGAAATGTTTCTCTTGCTGTTTCTCTGGGTGTTTGGCAGCCAGGGATCTCCCATAGAGCCTTAGTGATTGGTTTTGGGGCCTCTTCAGCTAGTACCTGTGGTCAGGCTGCTTGGGATGGGGCTGCTGGAACAGCCTGAGCTAGGGTTATAAAGTGGGTATGGTTTGGAGGCCTTGCAATGGACCAGGATGCCTGCTTTTCCCTCTCATCAATACAGGCTACATCCTTCCAGGTCTGAATAACAAGCACAACATCCGAGGTTAATTCACTTGCAATCCTACCAATGTCTAATACATGGTCTCCTGCTTGCAATGCCCATCTGATGTCTAAATTGGATAAACAGCAATATCTCCATTTTGGAATGAATAAACAGCGCTGTAACATCCACTGTAGGAAAGACACAAAAGCCTGTGGCTGAGCACTTTAACCTCTCTGGACACTCCACTGCTGAGCTCAGGATTGCTGTTCTTGGGTAGCAACATTCTTATAACCAGTGTGAATGGCAAATTGCAGAAGAAGAAAATACCCACAGACTGGATTGTGTTAAATCTTGTTTTAACAGGGACTATGGATTATCCCATTATCTGGATTAGCTTCTATGGCTCCTTTGGCCCTATGTGTTTATTGCTTGTTTGTTTGCCTCTCCCAGCACTCTTCCCATCCTCTTCTCTGTCTCCGTTTCTCTCTCCCCCTGCCCCGCCTCACTTTTGTATTCAATTTTTTTTCTTAATTAACTGTTTTGTGCACATCTTTTCTGATGAAGTGAGCTTCAGCCCATGAAAGCTTGTACTTCATAACCTTATTTAGTAAGGCGCATTTTTACCCTGCCTTCTGCAAGATGTGGAGGTGTCTTTCTGGGTGGCATGTTAAGATTCCTGGAGCTAGGCTTAGGGCACAGGTAGGTAATGCAGTCCAGATCAAGTTTAGCAGGATGCAGTACACCCCAACCCCCACGGGTTGGGGGGGGGGGGGGGGGGGGGGGTTCCAAACACTGGTCAGGTTGTGGACTTGGGAAGGTTCCTCCTGTTCTCATGGGTGCTTGCCAGCTGAGGATGTCAGATAGAGTGACAAGTCTGGAGCCATCCAAGCTAGTACTTGTGATCAGGCTGCTCAGGATGGGGTCTGCTGGAACAGCCCTAGTTAGGTTGAGGGTTAGAGATTTAACAAGGTTTGGAGTTGTTTTTCCTATTGGGGTGGTAGGACTCCTAGAGCTATGTTTAGGGCACAGGTAGTAATGTAGTCCACACTCAGAGTTAGCAGGATGGACCCTGAGATTCCCCCACCTAGGATGGGGATGGGTGGACTCTAAAACATGGGTCAGACTGCAGCATGGACAGGTTCTTTCTCTGCTGGATGTTTGACAGTTAAGGCTCTCCCGTTTAGGCTTAATGATTGGGCTTGGAGCCTCTCCAAGCTAGTACCCCTGCTCCAGTTGCTTGGGGTGGTATTTCCTTGAATGTAAAGAGGCATGTGATAATTTGAAGTTTTTTACTGGTTGATATTCATTCATTCATTCATTCTCATCTGAAATAGATTAACCAAAATTTTCTAGGGTCTCTGGGAGTTTTTAGCTTCCCATTAATGATGTACTTCATTCATATTTGACAGAAACCAGTAATTGCACTTGCTCTGTGATCGTACAGATGTGTTGCTAGGAAACTTCCAGAAACTGTTCATATGCAATATATCCTACTAATATTTACCTAGGCTTCACAATTTGGAAAAGAATAATAAACTACTTTTAATAGTGGTGGTCATCTGCTTTGAAGGCTAGCTGATCTGTTTATATAACAAATGATATATTGTCCATGTCTTTGGTGCAGGTCACGGGGTATGATACTGACTGTGAAGAGTGGTTTGTGTGGCTTGGGCTGATTGTGGATAACCTCATGAATTGCTCTATTATTGTAAACCTACCCAGTATTACTGTAAAAGAGATGGGTAATTAGGAATCCTGGTTTTCTCTAATTAAAAAAAATCTCCAGTTTTCAGATTTAAAAAAGTAACCCAAAATCCACATTTTTGCATAATTAAAATGAAACACTATTTTATATATATTAGTGGTGTTTCATTTTAATCACAGGAAAATATGGATTTTGGGTTACTTTTTTAAATCTGAAAATTGATGGGGAAAAAAAAAACCCACCCCAGAGAAAACCGGGGTCCCTGGTAATTATACTCACGTTTTGTTAAACATGGCAGAAGTACAAGTTTGTTTTCATGCTATGAGTGCATAAATCTTACCATTGCCTCAATTTTGCGTATAATTCTGGATCACCAAGACCATCAGATGTTTTATTTTTTACAGGTTACACTGAATCCCATAAAACAGTATTTATGGTATGTTTTCAAGCAAAAATAACTCTAATGAGTTGGAGAGAAAAAGTGTTGGCAGTCATTAAAGAAAGCATTACCTGCCTTGCTTCCTGAGATCTACTTATAAAGCATTAACAGAATACTAAGTAGTTTTACACTTTAACCAAAGGGATTTAATTCTGAAATAAGCATGCTGCATTACTTCAGTTTTGCTGCCATGAAACATTTTCATTTTCAATCAGGTCTTCAATTAGCGTGGGTTATTTTCCCTCTATAAATACTTTATATCGGTAACATGAAACCCAAATACTGTTTATCCAGCTATTATCGCGCCCCTGAAATCATAGTTTTGACTCATCTGTCATGTATAACTGTTAGCTCCTACTTAATGCATATTTGCTTCTACATAAAGTTAGATTATCAAATTTTTTTTTATTAAAATCATGTTGTTAGCTTTCACATTTCCATGCACTAAGTGGATACACATATGTAGATAGTGAATGGCAGTTTTCAAAATTACAGTGTTTTAACCCATTTTAGTACTTGTTAAATACAGGTGTTTAGAATACAAGGTGTTGGAGAATAGGGCCAAAATGTTGTTGATCTAATTGCTGGGTGCTCTGTAAACTATTATGGATCCATCAGTGGAATTAAAATAGGAAGCCACCCCTTAAAAGCTGCTTGAGGCACACATTTTTTGGGGTCCAGCAATTGGGAGTAATTCCACCAATGCTAGTGAAATTACACTGGTGTGAGTGAGACCAGAATCAGGGCATTCACCTTCATGTTCGTGTAAAGCACCAAAGGTCAAACTCCAATGATTTAAGTGTCTCAGGATGCAGATAAATCTAAAGTTTTGTTTTTTTTTTCCCTGGGAGTGAGGTACTTCATCCTTTTAGGTCCTTTTGAAATCCTACTTGGTACTTTTCTGTACCTTTAGGTGTTTAAATATTTGATACTCAGTAATTAATGTTTGACCCAACAGGTCGTAAACATCTCTAGCACAGGGTCAGCTGGGCTTATACGTTGGTCTCAGCTTTCAGCTGTGCTTCATTTCTGACTGAATAAGTGGGGGCTGTAGTCTAAGAGGAGCATGTGACTGAGATGGTTCATGGAACCATAGGCTGATGATGGAATCTGGTATAAAAGAAGTAATATCCTCTGAAAGGGGAGAGATTTGGGTGAGTTAAGGCCTAAGACCTGACTTGTCTTTCTGCAGTGACCTGGGGAGGAGGCTACCAGAAAGAGGTTACAGAGAAAATCTGAATATGGTTTTTGTAGGAAGTGATCCTGTGAAGCAGGGGCTTTTGGATAGGGATGGGTAGCACTTCCTGGTTCCAGATGCCAGGGCGCAAGCCTTTTCCAGAGGCAGGGCTGTAGTAGCACTGAAGGCTGGTGTGGAACACCTGGAACCCTGAGGATGAAACCTAGCATGGTTAAGACTAAGCAGCTATTTGGCCTGAGAAGCAGTGGGGGAGGATATAGGGATAAATGCTATACTCTAAAGGTAAGGGCATATTTGCCCCAATTACCCTGTTACACTCTAAAGGGAGAACTTTTTTCTGTGACTGAAGTTTCAAAGCATCAAAATCCTCCAGCTACCAAAAGGAGAATGGGAAACTGTTAATGGATGCTTTCTGATGCTGAACCAGGTAAGCAACTATGTTCTTAATAGGTGATTGTGCTTATTGGATTATATTGTAGATAGAGGTAGGCAACCCCCAGCACGGCTGCTAGTGTTGCACACACAGGCATTTTGCTTGGCATGTGTACTTCAGGGTGAATGGGGTAAGCGGCTTGGCCTGCACTCCTACAACAAGGCTCGGACTCCTAGCGGCTCCCCCACCGTCTGCTCCTGGCATACCAATGTCTTCCAAGTCGAGGTTGTGGTGTTTTTGACACTCATCCCAAAAATGTTACTGACCCCTGTTGTAGATAAATATTTTGACTAGGATTCAGGTCTCTGTTTCCATAATTCTAAATGAGATCAGAATTTGGCCCTGTAGCTTCATGTACTGAACATAACCAATGTACTTTAACATAGCTATTCCAAGACACACAAGCTTGACAAACACTGTGTGAGACTGCCTAGAAACAATGGAATGGTATAAATCCATTTAAAATGTTTGCAAAGCTATTAGTGGAGCTTTTATACTGGTCTTTAACAAAAGGTTGCAAGTAATATTTATCTTGGACTGGTTGACTTAAAATCAAAATCTGTAACAAATGTGAACTAAATGAATATAGAATGTTTAACCAGTAGCTAAATAGATAATGTATTGGATTCATTTTTTGTTGAACTAGTTTGCAGCGTGCCAGAGTACAGATAGGGCCAAATATAATTGAAATGAATTGCGTACAAAATGGGTATCTGATTGATGATAAAATAGAAGCAAAAATACATGCTGCTTTTCAAGTAAAGGGCTACAATGTTTGGGAGATTAGAAATAATCCACTGATGCATTTGCTTTGCAGGCAGACAAATTTGCCTTCCTATGACCAGATAGGAAATACCCTTTACACATCCTCTGCATATGTCCTAATATCCCGTATGATCCTCAGTGTGCAGCTCTCCACCTACTGCAGCACCTGAAGACATGATTGAACCCATTTTTTGTGCTAAGTAGTCCTTTAGTCAGGTCCCTGAGGACACCCTCCATTTCTACCTGTCAGTTCATCTTCTCCCCTGAATTACCAAGTGGAATATTCCTTGGTTCCTAATTTCTACTTGATTGGGAAACTTCCACTTCAGTTCATTGCTCTTGGCCAGCATTCATAAACATAACCTTTCTGCTCTTTGGGTTTCAACATACTGCTAGTTTCTCCAATAAGTACTAAAGAACTTCACCTGATGCTACAGATGTGAGCAAAGTGAGCTTTATAACATGCAATGTGAGCATAAGATGGACCCAGTCCAATTTTTGGCCCTTTTTAATTTTCTAGCTAAGGCACATAGTGTCCAGACCAAAACCCAGCTCTGACCCAGGATTGTTCTCAGCTAAGATGACCTGATATCTGAAAACCAGGACGTTATCAAGATGGACATAGAATATGGTCTTGGTACAAGTCAAAGAGGGTGCATATAAGTGAGTTTTGGCAAATGGGGAGAAAAAGAATACCCATGTATATCCCTCCGGGACCGTACCTACCTACCTACTCAGTGCAGAGGACAGACTGGTTTAAGCATGCATGCAGAGATCATTGGAAGGAGAGGGAAGAAGGGGCTTGTTCATGTGACAGGACTAGCAGTAGAAGCATGTGGTTCTTGAGGCATATTCCCATCCATCAGTTTTACTGTGGCCCCTCAGGTGATCAGTCTGCTGTGGATTATACAATACAGGGGTTTATGGCAGGATCATAAAAAAAAAAAAAAAAAAAAAAAAAAAAGCTTAGTTCCTCAGGTGTTATGTTTTCAGACTAACATCTGATGATGTGACAGACTTGCAGGTCTGAGGGCAACAATTTAGACTATAAGATCCCTTTTGGGATAAGTTCCATGATGCATCAGTGGCTATATTGCCTGGAAATAGCATAACAAAACTAGCATGCAGTAGCAATAATTTATTTTCCTGTATAAAAAAAAAAAAAAAAAGAAATACAAACCTTTACATTTGACCATGGTCTGGCCCTTTGAAGACTTAATCCTTGTCCTGAAATCTAAAGGTGGTTTGGTGTACTTGTAACTCCGTGTGCTCAGAAGTGTGTGGTCCAGTCAGAAAAGCTATAAACAAACCTCTTCCCAGGGTTATAGAGTGCACCGGCTTTAAGTGTTTGCTAGGGTCAACAAGGTTTCTGTAAACACCACCATATCACAGCCAGTGCACATGGATCTAATGCACTGTCAATCCAAAGCAAAACGCTCCACGTTCTCCTAGATCTTTTATAATGTGTTTATGTATTTACTTCTCTGGAAGGCCAATTTGTTTAAATTTCTCTTCTTTGGAGTGTTTTTTTTCCATAAATAAGGTCACATTTGCTACAATCTCCTTGTTCAACAACATCTTAAAGAAAATGGAAACAATATTTTTTTTTTTTTTTTTTGTAAGAGTTTTTGCATTTGCCTTTATACATGCACGTGATGGAAACACTATACATGAATTAATGTAATAATGAACATTGATATGCCAGCTTATGACTTAGTTAATGGAAAAATCCCAATAAAACGCAGGTACCAGATGAGCACGTGTTCACAGGAGTGGTGGTGATGCTCATGTGATCGTATGTTTTCAGTGTTTGTCATGCCTTTTCAGTTACCTACCCTGCATTCTGGCTGCCAAATGATTGCCTCCAGGACCAACTTTTAACAATCAAAACCTTTGAGCAAATGATCTGTACCTGAGATCAAGCTGGATAACATTCAGCACTTGATCTGTGATGGGACTAGAAAGGGATTCCAGACTTGGAAATGGGTAGTGGACACTGTGTAATTAAGGAAGACTTCAGTTTTTCCCCCTATAGTTTGGGAAATGAACACAACGAATAATAGGTGGATATATTTGGACAGGTTATCTGATAGTGACCATTTGACAGAAAGATCTATTTTAGCACTAGTTTTAGTGAGCAGTGTGGACTTTATAGAAAAATTGATTGTGGAAAAGAATTGAGGATTGAACAATCGGGAGTTGATTTGATTTAGTTTAAATTGCAGGAGGTACAGGAGTATGTCTGTAACAAGGGTCCTGGACTTCAGATGGGCTAAGCTTGAGAAGCAAAGGCAATTTAGTTAGGGAAGTCAACTGGATTCAAGAGCTAAGGGACTTGGATGTAGATGTGTCGTGGAATTACTGTTTTAAGGTAAAAGTGCAAATGCAATCTGGTGGTTGCTTCCCAAGCTAAGGATGAAAACTGTAGGGAAGGGCTACAAAACTTAATGTAAAAAGACATTTGTCATTAAAACAAACAGAGGATATACCAGAAACAGAAAAAAGAATTGACTAGTTAGGACAGTTACCTTTCTGTGGTCAAAGAACGTAGAAATCAAGAGAAAACAGCCAAATGCTTAGTTGAGTTAAACCTGGCAAAGGTTATCAAAACAAATAGGAAAAAAAATTCTCTGATCACAAAAAGAGAACCAGGAGGGAAGAAGTGGGCTACTTTATATAGAAGATGAGATTGAAGTAAAACATTACCTCAGATCTTGGTCCATCCCTAGGCTGGCCTTGATTTCTGTCTTCTGCACAGATGCAGTTGTAATTGAAGAGGATGGTTGGGTAGCACGTGACAATGAAAACATGATTATGGAAATAACCAGATCTGAGGAAGTGAAGCATATTATTTACTCTCCCAAAATCAGGAGTCTCAGATGATCTTGATCCCACAATGTTGAAAAAAAATGGTACATAAAATAGCAACTACTTGAGCAATGGACCTATCAATACAGGGATTATGCCTACTTCTGGAGCATATAGCAAATGTAATGTCTCTCTCTAACAGAGAGAGAAAAAAGAGTGACCCAGGCCTATCAGCTTGACTTCAATAGTAGGTGAGATGCTTGAAAAGATTGAAAGAACAATCAAAGACATGGAAGTAAACAGAAAGTTTTCCAAACAAAGTATTCGGGACAAAAAGCCGAAATCCCTTTAAGTTTGAACTTGGTAAGTTTATATAAGGGATAGTGTGGTAGAACAGGAAATAAAGTGTATGAAATAAAGTATTTGCAATCCTTATTCTGCCCATCTGCAGGGGCTAGGAAGGATTTCTTTTTTTGTTTTCAGAAAAGCTACCGGCTTCTGGTTTGTTGTTTCCCCTCCCGCCTTCTTCTGACTCATTGCACTCCAGTAGCCTGGAGTGAATTGGCCAGGAAGGGGGTTTAATTCCCCCCTTGCTGTCCCACTGGCATGGACCTGAGCCAGGGTCTGCGTGGTGCTCCCCCCTCGCTACTGCAGTGGTAGCGGAAAGGGCACAGGCAGATGCCAGCCAGCAGGGGGGGGGGGGGGGGGGGCGGGGTGAACAGTGAAGAGGGGGGGGGGGGGTCAGAGCTGCTGCAGACTATGCAGGGTGAATGGCAGTACCAGGGCTCAGAGGGGTGGCCATAGCCCCTCAAAGCCCCCAGCACCACCGCCACTTACCCCGCACAGTCTGCAGCAGCTCTGACTGCCCCTAAGTGTGCCCTTCCCCCCCCACCCCCCCCTTCAGGAAAAGGTTCATGTTCTGGGACAGCATGAAGGGGGCTGCAGCCCCGTCATGGTCGCTCCCCCCTTGCTGCTTCAGTGGCAGGGGCGGGGGCGGGGGTATGGCTAGAGGCCAGCCAGCAGGGCCCCCTTGAGGAGGGGAGCAGGGAGGGGGGTTATTCCCTCCTTCCCTTGGTGTCTGGTGGAGGGGGCAGGAAGAGGCTTATCCCATTGCTCACCCTATGCAGGGAGTGAGTGGCGGTGGCAGTCAGGGCTGGCAGACCCTGCTGCTGTCCCCCAGGGGTAGAGTGGGGAATAACCCCTCTCCCTGCCCCACCCCCCAGGGGGCCTTGCTGCCCCTGTCCCTGCTGCTGGAGTGGTGAGGTGGGAGCGACTCTGATGAGAGCTGCAGCCCCTGTCATGGTTTCCCGGAGCGTGAGCCTCTTCCTGGCCAGGGGGAGGGGGGAACCAAGCTGCAGGGTGGTCAAAGCTGCTGCAGTGGTGAGCAGTGGTTGCACTGATGGGGTGGCCTGGGGGGTGGG